TATTCTGCGTACTCATCTGGATAATGTCATACATTTTCAGCAAATATGATCATAAAGTTGGGCTGTTATCAGAAACTCCCTGAGATGATGAAAGTGATAGATGGAGAAATGTATCTCAGATGGGTTTTTTATGCTCATCTGGAAAGCATAACTGTGGTCTTTCAATGATCAAAACAATTTTCTGAATGATAATTTTAAAGTGACGGATGAAAAATGCTGAGCCAAAGCAGATACTGACACCGTAGCATTTTTGTTTCTGTCGGAAAAATAAATGGTACAGAACAACACTTTGCTGAGAAGTTCTGATTGGTTACTGTCGATGACAGAAACGCTACACGGCTTCAAGGGAACCAAGAAAAGCTGACCAAGAAGGATGACATTTATTACCTTGTGAGTGTTTTGTTTTAAGGTCTTCAGATTTCAGGGTGATAATAAAACTAATTTTGTGATTTAGGTTTATTTGAACAAAAACCAAACTGTCCACTGTTCTGTTTAGGGTTGAAATGGACTTGGAGGCAACATTAAAGTGACATATTATAATTCTTTTTGTGAGTTACAATAGTTTGATAGTCGGTACGAAACATGTTTATGATGTTCTTTGCACAAAATCCATCTCACATAAAGTTATTTCAGCAGTTTTACTGACAGTTCCAGTACCTTCCTTCCTAGGTAATAAATTAAAGCAACAGTAAACTGTTTCCTGTTTCTCCCTCCTACTGGTTGAAAGCAGAATTACAACTGCAGCAACAATCCTGCTGTGGCGCTAACAACAAGCAAACACTAAAACGAGCCAACTGATACTAAATAAGCCATAAATTAAAAAGATCCACACTGTTGAACAGCAAAATATTACTTGCCCAGTAGCAACAAAGGTCAGTCTGTGAGTTTTTAGCGTCCTTTAGTTCCCTTAACCCTTTAGACCCTAGGCCTTGTTTTCTTTGGAAAATGGCGCCTCCCAATTGGGGGCCTTTGGAGTTTCATGTCCCAAGTGTCAGTGATGGTTTGCATTCCCTGAGCACAGCTACAGCTACAACCAAAACAGTTTAGATTGTAAACAAAGCAATTTTTGGTTTTTGATACATTAGGATAAAATAATACGTGAACTTTATTTTAGAAGAGCTGCCCTGTGTGAACGTGCTAACAGGATGGAGGTTGTGAGTTCAAATTCCATTTAGGAAATTTAGTCAATTGTTTTATTTATTCCAGGGGTCCTCAACTAAATTTGTTCAAGGTTGGGTTTTTTTCAGCAGACACCAGAGAAGGTCAGATGCTCTTCTAAAATAAAGTTCAAATATCATTGTATCTTAATTTATTACTATTTAAAATGGCCTTGTTTCCCATCTGGGCTGTTTGATTGTGGTTTTAGTTGTGTTTGGAGAATGTGGACAGTTGTAGATGTTTGGGACATGAAACTGTGGAGGCCCCCAGTTGGGGGGGCGTTAGGGTTAAACAGGTTAAATGAGCGTAGGCTGCACCAACGTTCAGGCTAGTTTTAGCTCTTTGTTTCGCCTCCAAAGACATTACTCTCCGACTTCTAGCTCCAACATGATGCCAACAAAGTTGCAAACTTCTTATTCCTCCTCTTGTGCTTTTTATTGACGGTTGGTGAACTGAAAAAGCTAATTGCTAGCCTAGCTATCGGCAGAGTTAACAGCTAATGTCAAAAATATTTTAGTGTTGCTTTGATGAAAGTACTGGCCCGGCCTGTTTGACATCTGATTAGGCTGGAATGAGCTCGACACCCCGGTCCTTGAGGATCCACAGACGTTCCCAGGCCAGTGATTTCCGAGTCCGCTCTGGAGTCCCCTCCAAGTGGGCCGGCTGTCAGAGAACATCTCGATCGGCGCCCAAACCACCTCAACTGACTCTTTTTGTTGAGGAGGAGCATCGCCTCTAATCCCATCTGTACCGGGTCGGCCCGGGCCGGGTAGCCCCAGTGGGCCCCAGCCTGGCCCGGTTGATTCCACACATCCTTGCCTTAAGCCCATGTGGGCTGATTCTACCCACCAATCAGAGGCTTGCTCTAATGGAAGGTGTGAATTTGCTGTCAGCAGTGGGTGTGTTGGCCCTGGTCGGCCTGAAGCAGACCCCCTCGAGAAGAGGGCTGAGAATGAGCCTTGGTTGGCCCGGAAAAATACCAGGCCACCCAGATATGTAAACAACCTATGCTACCCGGCCCGGGCTGACACGGTACAGATGGGAATGGCCTTCTAGTTCCCTCTAGATTTTTGGAGTTGTAGTCCGAGCCCGGCTACTAAACAAAGGAATGCTATTTCAGCTGCTTGCTTCCAAGATTGTGTTCTTTCACTCCAAATCTTGTGACCAGGGTTGGAACTTAAACAGGCAGTTAAACTGGATCAGCTCCTTCTGGAGCGAGCCCCTCGTTACTAAAGATGAACCCCTGATGCTCCATCCTACCATCATCCATAAACAGAACATCAAAAACTCAATGTTCTCTTCAGGCAGAGAGACTCCGTCCCAATTAGCAAACACATCCATTACATTTTATTACACAGACAAAACGAAATCATCAAGAAAATCCCCTCTTCCACGTATTCCAACCAACAACACAGATTAAAGTACACATCACGCCCTCAGGATGACTGACGCCTTTTCACACCTCGGACTCCCCAGCCCCCCACCTTCATTTTCTGATGTTTAAATAAACTAACTTACAGCAGGAAGGTGTGTGGAGCAAAAAGCACCTGGCCTGAGACGGGGTCAGGACCTGACGGGATGCTGAATCTCTGAAACAACAAGAGAGTGGAGATCAGGACAGAGGTTATGGAAAATTCTGTCCATCTGTCACAGAATGGTACTCAGCAGCTTCCTGCTCGTAAACTCTTTAAGCAAAGCAGCTGATGGAGAGTTCTGTTCATGTACCAGAGACAATGACACGTAGGAATTTGTGCTTTTCACTTCATATTTTTTAGTTTTTATCACTCATTTTCCATCAATATTATGAAGTAATTGTAAAGCAACCCTATCTTTAGTTTATTTGAAATCGTAAATTGCATTTTAGGTTCAAACTTCATACTCAGACTCCTGTGTCAGAAAAGTCAAATTTGAGACAGATTCTCCTTCACGGGCTGAAACATGCTACCTGCCGGCCCTCTGAGGGGTCCTGATCCGACACAGACTCTCCGGCTCCACAGGAGTCTCTTCAACTTTGACCTCAGAACCCCTCAGGGTACCGCACCAACCCAAACACTTGAATCAGCATTTAGCATCATCACACACTCAAAGCTCAGGAATATCGAGCCATGTGTGTCTTATGCAACAGATACATTAGTTAGACCGCAATGTAGCTCAGAGTTTTTGTCCTCTGACGAAGGCTGCAGACCCTTGACTTTAACACCTTTAACTTTCTCCAAGGTATCTTTTCTATCGTGAAGTATCAGAAGAATTACTTAAGTAGTTTCATCTTTGGTGTGTTCTTGCTGTGTTTAGTTTCAAATTCCATCTTTCAGCTCTTTTTAAAACACAGAAAAGGTTTATTTACCTGCAACGTTTCGTTTGCGGCTGCAAACATCATCAGGCTGACGCCGATGGTGGCGTCACTTCCTTCGTTTATCCACAGGCAGCAGAGGGCAACAACGGCTGACTTCTTTATTGTGCTTTCTGCTTCTTCTTTTGCTGCTCTTGTGTGTTTTCGACTTGCCTCTTTCGCGCACTCCTTTCTATGTTCTATTGTTCGTGTGTCAGCCATAACAGATCACTGCACAAGAGAAAACCATGTAATGGACTGGGACAACACAAGGATCATGAACACCGAGCAACAGAAATACAAAAGACGGATAAAGGAAGCTATAGAGATGAGGAGACGTGGATGTGGGACCATGAACAGGGACGATGGAGTTTACTCGTTGGACCGCGCATGGGACTGCATCATCGGAGAGGGGAGAGCGAGCAGCAGAGGGCGACAACATCCTCTGCTGCCCGCGGATAAACAAAGGAAGTGACGCCACCATCGGCGTCAGCCTGATGATGTCTGCAGCCGCAAACGAAACGTCGCAGGTAAATAAACCTTTTCTGTGTTTAAAAAAGAACTGAAAGATGGAATAAGTAGTTTCATGTTCAACTACTCATTAATGGACTCGCCATCTGTAGATCTTAAGTCATATGTGTGTTTACAATTATTCCCCACATGTCTGCAGACCTGGGCGGTCGCGTTTAACCAATCCATCGCACAAATTTCCCAAATGTTTCATTTCCTGAAGAAATTAGAGCTGGAAACAAGAATTGAAACTGCTTGTGTGAAACTACTCTCAACATCTGGTGATCCAAATAAATGCAAACAGGTTTATTTAAAACAACGTCTATATAATAAACCATATTCTAGATGTTTCGAAAAGCATCCGAACCTTCATAGTTACCGCTGCACCACCCAATAATGGCATCCGCTAATTATTTCTAATGAGTCTGCTGATAAAATCTACAAGATAAAGCTTGTAAATACAAAAGACAGACCAGGTGAGGTGAGACACCTCGAACGGCCTCAGACAGCTCTGCAGTGAGCTCACGTCGGCTCCTAGTGGTCAAATCTGGAACTGCAACGTGATGAGGCTGCCACAGCTGATCATCTAGAAAAAAAAAGGTTTCATTTCCACACAAACACCATTAGAAAGTAAATAATGTCCAGGAAAACATGTTTATTGGTAAAGGATGCTGACATATGACGCCACAGGAACTTAAAAAAATATGTTAAATGGATTTTTTAAATTGAATTGTGCCATTTTTGCTCAAAATGTTGAAATATTCTGCAGTCTCTGTGAGGTGGAAAAGCCTCTGAGGGATGATGGATGGAGGCTGTTTGAGGGAACACTGGTCCATTAAGAGTCTGGTCCCGCCCCCCCCCCCCCCCCCCCCCCCCCCGTCTCTCTCTCTCTCCATGCGCAAAGAGGATAAGCTCTTCCCTTTTCTCTCCTCATCCTGATTGGACGAGGCTACGTCTTAGAAAAGGCAGCAAACTATTTAAATAAAGTTTTGTCCCCCTTGGCTTAAAGGGGACTTATGAAGCGGCTGGGACCAGAGGAAGCGCGTTTTAATTAGACTAAGAAAAGAAATACCGAACTTTTTCATGATGGATATTTTTCTTTTTTAAATAATTTGCCATATTGATCTTTGTGGACTATTGCTGGATTTTCTCTCTTTTTTTCTGATTTGGAGGGATTTTATTGGCTCTGCTGTTTGAGTTGTAATAGGTGAGTCTTGTCCAAAACTGCAGCAACTGGTCTGGGGTCTGTTTTCAGGTTCTTCAGCTGATTATTTTAGTGGTTTTATTAAGAAAATCGTGGGGTTTTTTCGCAGGTGGCAGGTAGTTGTCTCATCATGAAGCTGGCAGGAGTGTTTTTGCTGCTGATGCTTTGGACCTGTGAGGGTTCGAGAGTCGCAGGTGAGTTTGAGAGAATGAGTTGGAATAAAATCTAATTTGTGTGATTAAAGGTATGAAACTAAAGGAACCAGTCAGACAAAAGCTGAACACATTTTTATTATTTTCCCGCAGAGAGCCGGGATGACAATAGTGTGTATGACTTGTTTGAGCTGATCCGAGTCCCCAGTAAGAACCACGGGGTCACCCTGGTGAAAGGAGACGACCCGTACAGCCCCGCCTACAAGATCCTCAACCCGGACCTCATCCCCCCGGTTCCCGAGAGCGCCTTTGGGGACCTGGTCGATTCCATTTACGCAGAGCGCGGTTTCCTCCTTCTGCTCAACTTCAAGCAGTTCAAACGAACCAGGGGCAGCCTCCTGACCGTGGAGAAGCGGGACGGGTCCGGACCCGTGTTTGAGATCGTCTCCAACGGCAAGGCCAACACTCTGGACATCGTTTACTCCACCGAGAACAAGCAGCAGGTGGTCTCCATCGAGAAGGTGGATCTGGCCACGGGTCACTGGAAGAACATCACGCTGTTTGTGCAGGAGGACCGGGCGCAGCTGTTCGCGGGATGCGAGGAGGTGAACACCGCCGAGCTAGACGTGCCGATCCAAAGCGTCCTGACACAGGACATCCCGGCCGGCGCGCAGCTCAGGGTCGGAAAAGGCGCAGTGAGCGACAGGTTCATGGTGAGAGCGCACAGAAATGTTTTCACCCTCAGGCGTGAAGTTTGATACCCAGCCAAGACCTGCATGAATTTTTTAACAAGTTAATGAACGAATGCGCAAAAACGCGCGTAATTCCTGAGAATAATGCTTTGTTTTTCTCTGGTAAACATTTCCCCAGCCTGGTTTGATCTAAACTTAACACTCATACTTTCAGGGGGTGCTGCAAAACGTGCGGTTTGTGTTTGGAACAACGCTGGAGGCCATCCTCCGCAACAAAGGATGCCAGAGCTGTAAGTAATCAGGAGCAGGTCGGTTAGTGTGTTTAATTATCCATCTGAGCTGCCAAGTCCCAACAAGTGGCTGTGGGCGGGGATATTTCTTATTTACATGAATATTTATTTCTAAAAGCTGATTTTACTCATGACTATCAGACTCCTGTTTCTTCTTTGGCTCCTGAAGTATTTTTCAATCACAGATTTTTCAAGTGGCGCTGAATCAACAACACAAAATGACTAAATCAAATTATTTGTGTGATTTTTGTGACTTTCAGCTGTTACAAGTGACACGATGATCCTGGATGTCCTCAACGGGTCATCAGCCATCAGAACCGAGTTCACAGGACACAAGACTAAAGGTGAACCTCAACACCAGATCTGGAATGGATCCTGTTCCACGACGCTGACACATAACTTAGTGTTTAATCTAAAACTGACATGTCTGAACTCGGCTTTTTAAAGACCTGCAGATGGTCTGCGGTTTCTCCTGCGAGGATCTTATCAGCATGTTCAAGGAGCTGAAGGGACTCGGTGTGGTGGTGAAGGAGCTGTCCAACGAGCTCCGACAGCTGGTAAGGAGGACTGTCGTTCTGTCAAAGTCTGAGAGGCCAGCTGAGTTTCTGTATCTCAGATTCACCTAAAGGAGCATTTTTATTATAACTTCCGTCTCTTCATGGCATCCATCATTGTCCCTCTCTCCTCAACCCACAGACGAATGAGAACAAGCTGATTAAAAACAGGATCGGCATTCACAGCGGCGTCTGCATCCACAATGGCATAGTGCGCAAGAACAGAGACGAGTGGACCGTCGACGATTGCACCGAGTGCACTTGTCAGGTGATCCTAATTTATTTTACACTTACACACATCCTCGTCCATCAGGACGACACACTGAAGCGTGCACATGTAACCACCACCTCAGCTCCTCTGGTCAGTAGTAATTAGTAGCTTAGGGGCTTGGCAGACGGCCGACAGCCTTAGTGCCGTAATGACAGGCCTGTTGTCAGAAGTTCAGCTTGAATGTGGCTTTCAGGGACTCGTCCAGACTTTAAGTGATGTATGTAATTAAGAACAAGGCCTTGGCTCTGACAAAAGGAAGGATATTTGGCAGAGATCCTCCATGCAGCTCACCAGTGGGGCTGGTTTTTCTCCTCTGCTACTCTTTCTTTCCTGCCAGGGACAAAATCCAGGGAGGGAGAACATCAGTGTGCAGTAACAGAATGTAAGGGAAGGCAGGCTTTACTTCTTGGGAGTTCAATGGCCATTGCAGCTCCATTGTGAGATAAACCCGCCTTTCCCTGACCTCGGAGGCATGTCGTCTGCAAAGGGGTCTCTGATCTGTGCCCAAGCTGTGTGTTTTAGCTTCTCTGGCATGCAGAATCTTTTTTTCTTTTTCATTATAGCTTCTGATTCAGCAACACAGCTTTGTTGAGTCTGATTACAAAACGTAGCGGAGATTCAGCGCTGCATTCAGGAAACCCCTGACAAATGGGCGTCATCGTCATGTCTTGTGTAATCTTTATTTTCTTGCAGAATTCTGCTACTGTGTGCCGGAAAATCTCCTGTCCACTGATCCCCTGTGCTAATGCAACCGTTCCCGATGGAGAGTGCTGTCCACGTTGTGGAACGCGTAAGAATTGCATTTTTTTTACGTCACAAAGACCCTCATTACTTTTAAAGCTGCAAAAAAGTAAATGTGTGGATAAATGGTCACCATATGCGTGTGTGTGTATACATTTCAACTAACAGACGCAGCATTCTATCGCTGCCACGTTCACTGAAAAGACAGCTTATGTTTCATTTGCCACATTAAACAAAAAAACTACAAACATTCCTCTGGACGTAAAAGTTTCTGTTCAAAAGAAATACATCTACTTTTAAAGACGATTTAACTGCAATAACATCCGAGTCCATGAGGGCGATGCCTATGTCTGAAACATTGGAGCTTTGTGCTCAAACACCTTTTTAATCTTCATTTTCTTCAACCCTAACAAAGAACCATTTATGTAAAAAATATCTTTCTAAATTCGTTTTCCTTCGGAGTTTTAGTTTTCTGTCTTTCCTCTACAGAGTATTCTTGTCCAAGTCCATCACCCATCACTTTAGGTGCTTTCCCTGCTCATTTAGTTTTGGGTGTGTGTGTGTGCGCGCGCGTGTGTGTGTGTGTGTGTAGGGAGGAGGGGTGAGTGTCTGAAAAGGGGTGCTGCCTCTCTGGAATAGCACTTTTATTGTCTCCTTGCCCTCTGTATCATATTCTCTCCTGCTCAGCAAGCGACTATGCAGAGGACGGCTGGTCGCCCTGGTCTGAATGGACCCATTGTTCTGTGTCTTGTGGGCGGGGCATCCAGCAGCGTGGCCGCTCCTGCGACCGCATCAACAACAACTGCGAGGGCACTTCTGTGCAGACCCGCGACTGCTACCTCCAGGAGTGTGACAAGCGCTGTGAGTGATCCAACAAGCCAAGGAACTAAGCATAACCTCATCGTACACGCTACAAGAATTATTTCAGTTTTACTCGTTGGTCATTTTTGAGACACAATTTGTTTGTAGTCCAACACTTCGCTTTTTGCCATTGACCTTTGACCCTCTTTTAATCTTCAGTCAAGCAGGATGGCAGCTGGAGTCACTGGTCACCCTGGTCATCATGCTCTGTCACCTGTGGTGCTGGCGTCATCACTCGCATTCGCCTCTGCAACTCCCCCACTCCTCAGCTGGGAGGCAAGGACTGCGTGGGAGAGGGCCGGCAGACTGAGAAGTGCCAGAAGTCCCCATGTCCGAGTGAGTTCAAACCACCACGCAGTCACTTTTCTGGTTCTCATGAGCGAAGACAATAACTGACCAATTTCCTCTTGTCTCCATCAGTCAATGGGAACTGGGGACCCTGGTCACCCTGGGGTACGTGCTCACTCAGCTGCGGTGGTGGTGTCCAGACTCGTAAGCGTCTTTGCAATGATCCTGCTCCACTGTACGGTGGAAAAGAGTGTGTTGGCGATGCCATCGACAAACAGATGTGCAACAAGAAATCCTGTCCAATTGGTGAGTCATTTTATTCCCCGACAGAGCCTCTCAGTTTCTTTGTTTTTGTTTTTCTACAAAAGTTTTAACATATCTCTTTTCTGATTAAAAACATGCACCATCTAAAGCATCTTGATAATGAGGTTGCATTCTTGGTTTCAGATGGATGCCTGTCCAACCCTTGCTTTTCTGGTGCCAAGTGTACTAGTCTCCCCGATGGTTCGTGGAAATGTGGAAAGTGCCCAGTTGGCTACACAGGCAATGGCGTAAAGTGCAAAGATGTTGATGAGGTAAAGAAAATTAGAATTACATCAGCAGCAAGGACTGCTTGGAGTCTCCTGCTTTATAATTACAAGGGTTTTATTAATCCCAAAACAGTGCAAGGAGGTCCCAGATGCTTGTTTTGAATTTAACGGCATGCATCGTTGTGAGAATACACAACCAGGCTACAACTGTCTGCCCTGCCCTCCACGCTTCTCAGGACCCCAACCATTTGGTCAAGGTGTAGAGCAAGCTGCTGCTAACAAGCAGGTAACTACAAACCTGACAACCAACTGGGCGAACACTAAAAGTTGTTTGAACATATCACCAAATCATTCCAGTTTATAGAAGATATGTTTTGGTAAAATGAAATGTCTACAGAAAATCTGATCCCTATATGTCATCCAGGTGTGCACTCCTCGTAATTCCTGCCTCGATGGAAGCCACGACTGCAACAAAAATGCTCGGTGTATCTACCTTGGACACTTTGCTGATCCCATGTTCCGCTGTGAGTGCAAACCTGGTTATGCGGGTAATGGTCACATCTGCGGAGAGGACACAGATCTGGATGGATGGCCCAATTCTGATCTAATCTGTGTTGAGAACGCCACCTACCACTGCAAAAAAGTGGGTAGACGTAAAGTTGCAAGACTCTAACATTAGGTTTGATAGGTTCAGGATCAAATTTCCTGGATTATCTATATGGCTTGTCCATCTCAATGTATCGTCTTTTACTCAGGACAACTGTCCCAATCTTCCCAACTCGGGACAAGAGGATTATGATAAGGATGGAATCGGTGACGCCTGTGATGACGATGATGACAACGATGGCATTCCTGATGACAGGGTCAGTAAAAACGAACAATGGACAAAACGTGTTTGCGATGTTTTTGCGTTCCTTATTTATTCTTGAAGGCAGTGGGGATTCAGCAGGAAAGCAATAATTTCTCAGTGATTTTAACCAAAACCAAAAATTCCAGTGCTGAGGTAGAAAAGAACATCCATTGTTTGATGCTAATCCCAACATTGGAACAGAGACATGGCTTGAAGATAAAGCACCTTTTCATCCAGCGTAATTCTGTGTAAATAGGCAGGTTCCAACAGCAAAGCACCTGGAAACCTGTCATCAACTCCTCATCTTTCTTTCTTTAACACAGGACAACTGTCCATTCGTGTACAATCCAAGGCAGTATGACTACGATCGAGATGATGTGGGTGACCGCTGTGACAACTGCCCTTACAACAGTAACCCTGACCAGACAGACACAGACAACAATGGAGAGGGAGATGCCTGTGCCATAGACATTGATGGAGATGGTGAGAACCAGGAACTTTGTTCAAAACAAGCCTCTCAAATTTGATGGCGTAATTTGTAATGATTTTCCTTTTTAGGAATAATGAATGAGAAGGACAACTGTCCCTACGTTTACAATGTTGACCAGAGAGACACAGATCTTGACGGAGTGGGAGACATGTGTGATAACTGTCCTCTGGAGCATAATCCTGATCAGGTGTGTGGACGCACATGCATACAGCCTTGTCCGTTTCCTTCCGCCTCACCCAGCAACAATAATCCACATTCAGCTCCCTGCCTCTCTCTCTAGCTCAGCATATATCTGTCTTTCAAATGAAAGAGAGCCTCGGTGATTAGCCCTGTGTAGCTGTCTAAGCTTTATCCCGCCATGTAATGGTGGAGCAAATCCTGCATGGAGCTCAGGGGCACATTAGTTCAATAAGGCGTGGGGGGGGGGGCAAGAGGTCTTTTCAATGGCCCATTGACGTTGGCTGTCTAATGTGAGGAAAGAGGCCCTAGGCTGGATTTCACTGAGGAATGGGATGGCCCTGGGGTATGTGCTTGCCCTGTCAGTGCAGCACAGACTTCCTCAGTCCACCTGTGCCATGCTACATTGAAAAAAAGGAATGCGATCAACAACGGGAATCGGGAGAAAGTTGGGGGAAGGAAGGGAGCACCAAAGCCTTAAAACTCTGTGTTGGCGAGTGTAAGTGAATTGAACATCTCTTGAAAATTAGAAAAGACACTTTCAAATATGGATATAGCTGTTTAATACTAGCAAAAGATATAAAACTGAGGAATTCAGGAGTCTGCAAAACTACAAACAACAATTCTCTGAGCAACAAAGAGTTCCTAACCCTACGAAATAGGATAAACGGATACCAGTTGAGACCAACAAAACAAATCTAGAAGGAAAAGCAATGGAAGTATGGGGTAAATTTTAATATTATAACAGTTCATCTTAGCTCCAGGATGGAAGTGAGTCTTTGCCTCAAGTGGAGAAATCCTGGTGATGGTAGAATAGAGCAAATGGTAGAAACTAGATCAAGTTATCAGATGACAAAATGGGACATTTTCTCTAATTCGCTGTGGTGATGAAGGACATTCTGACTCACACATATGTTCAAGAGATTTGGATCTTGACAAAAAAATGAAATCCTCAATACAAGCTGCTAAAATGAGCTTCTGCTGTAGGGTGGCTGGGGTCAGCATGATAAGGCGAGGAGCTCCATTATTCAAGGGGAGCTTGATGTAGACATGCTGCTGCTCCTCCTCAACAAATGAGGTGTTTTAGGCTTTGATTAGGATGCCACCTGGTTTGCATTTGTTTCTGGGCACATTCCATTAGGAGGAGACTCAGAAGTCTCAATCTACTTAAGGAATCACATATCCAGTCAGACCTGGAAACAACTTGGGTTACCCCAGAAGGAGCTAGAGAGTTTCGCTGGGGAGAGGAATGTGACAATCATCCTCCTGAAAGCGTTACCTCTGCAACCCAATCTTGGATAATTTTCAAAAAGACTCAACTTTCATTTTCCTTTTAAAATTTATAATTCCAATTCTTAAATATTGTATTTTTGAAGGTGGATTCAGATGACGACCGCGTGGGAGACAAGTGTGACAATAACCAAGATATTGATGAGGACGGACATCAGAACAATCTGGACAACTGCCCTTATATACCCAATGCTAACCAGGCTGACCACGACAAGGACGGCAAGGGAGATGCTTGTGACCATGACGATGACAACGATGGTATCCCTGATGACAAAGATAATTGCAGACTGGCCTTCAATCCCGACCAGCTGGACTCAGATGGTTAGCAGAATGTGAAACACATTTCCAAGCTCGTCATCACAGCTTGAGTATCATTCCTAATCAATTCGAACTGTTATAATTTCCAGGTGATGGTCGTGGAGATGGTTGCAAAGACGATTTTGATCAAGACAACGTGCCTGACATCTATGACGTGTGCCCTGAGAACTTTGATATCAGTGAGACCGACTTTCGTAAGTTCCAGATGGTTCCTCTGGATCCAAAAGGCACCTCCCAGATTGATCCTAACTGGGTGGTCCGCCACCAGGGCAAGGAGCTGGTTCAAACTGTCAACTGTGATCCTGGCATTGCTGTCGGTAAGAAAAGCATGTATTGTGTCATGCAGGTTTATGTGCATTAGTTTGATGAGCTAACACAAGCTGTGTTTCCATCAAACTGTCAAATGAAACTGAAGCAAACATAATGTTGCTAAGTAGAAAATACGCTTTAGATTGAGTACACTTTGCTAGGTCTACAAAAGGTGGCAAGACTGGCCACTTATTGATCATCACTGCAATCAGCCTTTTTATATTTCAGTTTGGATCTTTTTCCTCTAATTCTTCCCACAGGTTATCATGAGTTTAACGCGGTTGACTTCAGTGGAACTTTCTTCATCAACACAGAGAGAGATGATGATTATGCTGGCTTTGTCTTTGGCTACCAGTCCAGTTCCAGGTTCTACGTGGTGATGTGGAAGCAGATCACACAGACCTACTGGTCAAGTAAACCTACCAAGGCCCAGGGCTATTCAGGCCTGTCCATCAAAGTGGTGAACTCCACCACTGGCCCTGGAGAGCACCTCAGGAATGCCCTCTGGCACACGGGCAACACTGCAGGACAGGTGGATTAGATTTCGCAACTCAATGAGTTGTGTAGTTTGAAGTGTGAAAATCACATTAACCAACTGTTCTTCTTTGTCCTGGTGTTAGGTCCGTACTCTCTGGCACGACCCTAAGAATGTTGGTTGGAAAGATTTCACCGCCTACAGATGGCATCTGATCCACAGGCCAAGAACAGGACTCATTAGGTGAGTGAGGAGCAATCACAAATCTTCATAAATGTGTTCCCTTCACAAACCCTTTGAAATGTAAAGCCTTGGAACTTATTTGTAACGTGTTATTCACAGAGTTGTAATGTATGAGGGAAAGAAGATCATGGCCGATTCTGGTACCATCTATGACAAGACATATGCAGGGGGAAGGCTGGGCCTCTTTGTTTTCTCACAAGAGATGGTGTACTTCTCTGACCTCAAGTATGAATGCAGAGGTATGTATCATGTGAGCATTGCTTGATTTGGTGTCACCTATCAAGCCCTTTGCAAACGTTTTACATGTGTATCTTCTTTTTACAGATGCATAAAGAAATAGGTTGAAATCTCTGAGGAACGCACCTTTTTTGTATAAAGTAAGAACTTACTGTATGTATTCTCCTGCAAAGTGCAGGGCCTGGTTTGTCTCCACATGGCTTTTTTCTGTGGCACGCACACTCAGACTGGGCGAAAGGCATTTGTTAGCCTCATGGTAACTTGAAGCTGGATTGGGCGAAGCACCAATCTGCTGACTGCCAGTTGAGGATAAAGAGAGTGGGGAGAGCTGGAGACAACTAAAGTCCAACGAAAGGAGAAAACTTGCTTTGCAAGATGGACATTAACATCTTGTCTAAATCCCAGCTCCTTCTCCTGTCCAGCACCCTAAAGGCCTCATTCATCTGTGTGCTGGAATGGCTCCTCGGAAAACTATGCATTTCCAGGCCTTTACATCTCTCTCTGTTCTTCTGCTTTTCTGCCTTACTTTCTGGACATAAATCCCAAAGAAAACACAAAGAACCCTCTTTTTGTTTCCATGGAATAGTTTCTAAAGGAAAGAAAATTTGAGGACTCAGAGATATTTAAGGATTTTTTAAGGATTTGTGATTGCTGGACACAAAGTGATTTGAGAGGACCATAATGTTGTGGCAGCATGTGTTTGTGCACATACTGCAGGTGGGTGATGAGCCATGATTGGAACTAGAGCATCATTAATTTACCTGTCTGTCAAGTAGAGAAAACACATTTTAAATGGTTCTACTTTACACAGATGTATTGTGAACGTTGCTATTGTCATATCTTTTGAATCTCAGGATAAGTGATTATCTGATATCAAACCAATAAATTAACTTTTGCTAAATTACAACAGTGAATCTACTCCGAGCCCCTCCCGCTGCTCCTCCACATCGAGAGGAGCCAGTTGAGGTGGCTCGGGCATCTGGTCAGGATGCCTCCTGGACGCCTCCCTGGTGAGGTTATCTGGGCACGTCCAACCGGGAGGAGGCCTAAAGGTAGACCCAGGACATGTTGGAGGGACTATGTCTCACACCTGGCCAGGGAACGCCTTGGGATTTCCCCGGAGGAGTTGGCTCAAGTGGCCGGGGAAGTCCGGGCCTCTCGACTTAGGCTACTGCCCCCGTGACCCGACTCCGGATAAGCAGATGAAAATGGATGGATGGATAAATTACAATAGCCTAGGATCACTAATCCAAGATTCTCCATATTAAACCAGATTGTTCACCGAAGAGGTTTACTTCTGTAACTTTAGGGTTTTTAAGGCGAAATTTTGTAAATAAATCTAATTTATTGACTCTTGTCTACAATGTAGGCAGTAAGTACAAGTTTAACACTTCGAAAAAGTAAGATTTCTTCTAATCCCAAGGTCTTTGTTATAATAAAACTGCCCCAAAATGAGGTACAGTCAATTATCAGATCAGCATATTAAAACATCTAACTGTACAAGATGAATTAAATATGATTCAAATAGAGCTTTTTTGTATAAAATGTACAGGATGTGAGTCACTTACGTTTATTTCTGCAGAGAGAGATGAAACACAAAGGACATTTTATACAGTTATTACCTCAATGCTGTTTATAATCTGATCAAACAAAAACACAGCCTAAGTTTTATCATTTTCTTCTTCTTTTTCTGAAACGATTAACATCTTAGAGCTACTGTAGCAGGAGCTGTAAATAGTTTTCACGTCTAAAGAAAAAACAATTTTCCAATCCCATTAAATAAAAATGGGACATTTTTCCCAAATATGTACAATGGGGTTTTTACTGATAAATTATTGTTTTTCTGTTTGTTTCTTAGCTGTTTTTTTGTGAGTGCTTGGTGTGTGTGTGTGTGCGTGTGCGCGCGCGCGCGTGTGTGTATGTGGATAAATGCTATTTAAATAATTTATCGGGATCTGTTACCTTAAAAAAGGATGTGGGTCCATCTGTATAAACAGTTTGCACACTGACGTGAGGATGTTATGTTCTTTATTGTTTCCCTGCTTTTTTTTTGTTTATTGTGTATCAATGTTACTATTATTTTTGTACAATTAGTGCTGGTCTGTAAACATTTTCTTAGTTGTACAAAGCAAAATCCTGTTTTTATTATAGTGGAATATTTTGTTACATTCTTTAAGAAAATAAATAGATGTTAAGATTCATAAACTTGTCTGGGCATTTGTTTTTCACAGTTATTTTTTATTTTAAAATGAGATTCAAATGACATTTAAACACCAGAAACAAATATGATGGATTCTTTTAAAAAATAATGATGTTATTGACACCTTTTTTATATTCTCAACAACAAATTTTAGACCTTCTGCAAAACTCAAATCCTTAAATGATCAAAAACATGAGCAGACATAAACTGTGTAATTTCCTTTGTCTTTTTAATTTATTCCAGTACTTACCAAATGAGTGAAAGGACACCCAGGACTGGTCTCCAGTCCATAGGGACAAATAACCAGTCACACGCTCACTCACATCTAGAGACAAGTTAAGAGACTCTGATTAAACTAACCATGCATGTTTTTGGTCTGTGGGAGGAAACCAGAGTTCAAATTATTCCAAATGTCTAAAAGTCATCTCTCGCCCATCTCTGATGTGGCAGCCACATTATCTAATTTACCAAGCCAGCTCAAAACCAAGCAGACAACACCTGTACTGGTGATTTGAACGTGCCTGGCCCAATCTGCAGGTGGATCACTGACTTCCTAATGGAGAAGAAGCAGCAAGTGAGGCTGAGGAAAAATGTCTTGGGCCTGCGGACCATCAGCACTGGTTTCCCTCAGGGCTGTTCTCTCCCCTCTGCTCTTCTCCCACCAACGGCTGCACCTCCAACCACGAGTCGGTCAAGCTTATCAAGTTTGAGACAACACCCCCGTCAGACTCATCTCTGACGGGGATGAGTCTGCTAACAGAATGGAGGTTGAACGGCTATTTGACTCTGTCATAAAAAAAGGCCCAGCAGAGGATGCACTTCCTGAGGCAGCTGAAGAAATTCAACCTTTCAGCACAGTCGATGAGGCAGTTCTACACCGCAATCATCGAGTCCATCCTCACCTCTTCAGTCACTGTGTGGTACGCTGGAGCTACCACCAGGGACAAGAAGAGGCTGCAGCGTGTCGTGCACTCTGCTGAGAATGTCATTGGCTGCAAGCTCCCCTCCATACAGGACTCATCTGGCAGGAGGTTCAGATCCATCCAGACCAGAACCTCTCAACCCTGTGTTGTGTTTGCGCCTGAAATGACCCGTTCTGTAGCCTGGCCTGCCAGACTCCTCCTCTGTTTCATTCTGCACAGAGAAAGGGTCTGGGAACTCTCCTATTCAAATAACCCCTCCCCCTGAGAATTCTAACCAAGCCAATCAGCAGTGAGTAGCGTACGGCACGCACCACAATGCCGAGTTTGTCATAAACATGGTGACTGAAGCGGAGTTCGCTGCGGCTCTTTCCTCTGTTCTAAATGACTTGGACACATCTTTAAAATCACATAAAAAAGCAATACAGACTGTTGGGGTACTCCAGGAGCCAACCAGAACCAAGCCTTAGCCTTTCTGGCCTGAACCAATCAAGTCTCTATATCCGTGAAGCACCATGAGAGAGGTGTACAGGCTATTTACCTGAGCCATTAGTCAACACTGCTGCAGCACATTAAAAACATACCAGCAGCATGAGGTGAATGATCATCAAGGGCATCAAAAAACAAACACACTGCCAAAAAGGAGCAAAAAAATTACCTTCAACAAAAAGAGGAGGGGCCAGCCAAAACAAGCATAAGAAGAAAGACCACTCAGACTAACCCACATTGGACCATAGGATCCATTATCCTCTCTTTACCCTAATTAAAAAATAAAAAATAAACCTACCAGGAAAAAAAACTGTAAAACATGGACTATAAGCTACCACAGACCTAGAAACTAAATAAATATAGAATAATGACCTGCATCTGGAGATTGGAACAAAGGTCCACTTGTCATGATTTGGATAAAAATACTCAAAGTAATTCAAGACAAGTGCATACATGCAATGTATGGATGTACCTGATGATGGTTTAAATGAACACCTACACAGTAATGAGTGACTAGCACAAAATGGAGTACAACAGCCGCTAACCAAATGGACTATTCCTAACAATGTCACAACACATCAACCTAAAGTGTCACCACAACACAAATGGTCACTCAAAAGCATTTCATACCACAGCAAGTTACAAACACGAACAAAGAAGTCATTGCAACACATCATTTACCACAAACAGCGAACCACACCCATGCTAAATGATCATAACCAGTGTGGCCACGACCCACATGAAATTACTGCTTTTTATCCAGTCAGCAGCATCCAAAAACAAATGTATGCAACACTAAAAAGACACCAAAGAAAGTCTCAGTCATATAAGCATCCATTAAGCTGGTGTAAACATACAACAGGTGTTTTCACACAACTGCAAACATAAGTGACCACACAGGCTGCTTTGTCTTAACAAACTTGCTCTGAACGATACATCACCACTCATGGTAAAAACGTCAAGGGCTTACGTTCACTCGCGCCAACACAAACACAGAGAAAAAAGCTACAGAAAACCCTGCAGCAGGATAGGCTAAAAAACACTACTTACAACATTATCTGTAAAACTTAATGTTTTGTCTCATCTTGACTTTTTAAAGATCCTGGACAAGCCCCCAATTTATGCTGTGTTTATGTCTCTGTGCCTCAACATAAAATGAAAACTGAACATACTGTTCACAGTTTTGTAAGTTTTAATTATTTTTAAAGTCATCTAAAACCCTGACTGAACCAGTACAACAGAGAAGACCACAGCCTTAGGGTCGTGATATACTTACTGTTTGACCTCGCATTAGCGCAGGCAGCAGGCTGCATCTTTGTTCACATACTTGCAGCTGCACAGCACTGCAATGCACAGCATGTAATATTTGAGTGTTCCATTAGGGGGTGCACTAAACTACTCAGACCAGACAGAGAGCCGGGTTTGTGGGTACAACCAAAACAAACATGGCATCAATTAAAGAGCTCACTAGCTGGTTGATTTTGAGTTCACAACAGAAAAAAAGATATCAGCAGTATTGCAGATGGAGTGAAAGAACTCTATACCAGAAACGGAGTCACCATGGTGAGTGTGTCTCACTCGTTTTGTCGACTCCACCTACTGGTTACTCGTATATTGCAGCGTTCGGACGCATCGCGTTAATTTCACACACAAACGATGCTTCAAATACAAGCAAGTAAAGCATGGATGGCAGCCATTTTAAACACGCGTTTGCATCATCAAACATCAAGTATATCACGGCCCTTTCAGTGACCAATCTTCACGCAGGATGCAGGAGGGTGCTAGCCTAGAAATCTAGATGGACAGTAGAAGAAGCAAAATGATTGTGCTCTGTATGTCGATCTAGCCACATTGCACTGGAACCTCTGCAGTCCTCACCAGTCTGGTGGCATGCCAATCACAGCACTTTATCAATTTGGTGGACGGGATGATGCGACTGAGCGGAACAACTAAGACGGTCATGGCTCGTTTGAAATGGCTTTGGCGTCAACTTTGGACTATTTAGATTTGTGCTTTTCTGTGAGTCAAGAGCAAATAGAGGTTTTCAAGTTTATTTAGAAAAATGATTTATTAGCGTCTTCTTCGACAGTGAGGCAGACTGCCCCGTTGACCAACATCTGTAGAGGTGAGTACATCACGCTGTTTGTTGTCCAATAGCATATGGAGACAGTTTGAAAGGCAACCCTCGACTGAACTTTCCCCATGGGTCGTGGCCATGTTATATATTCGCATATGTAGGGTGGCTTGCCAAGCTAGGAGGGTGTGGTGTCAATCAGGACATGAATCTGGAGGTCTTCTAGTCACAGACTGGTTTCATTAACACAGTTACACCTGTTTCAAATAATGATAGAGGGGAAGTGAAAAAATAACCGACTCATTACCTCCTGCTCCTTTAATGGGACTGCAAAAAGCACCATCTGCAGAAAAGGGAATATCAGCCTTAAAGTGCTTAGGAGCACAAAGGCCCTCCACCCTGCAGTTACAGCAGCTTTATTTAGCTCCACAGTTCAAACAGCAAAGTGGCAAGCCTCCATACTCCTAATGCATTTCAATTTACCACAACTGTTCTCCAACTGTAGACTTGAAACCTCAGAAACCGTATTTGATCTGACCTCCCACTCGCTCCGCCATTCAACGACCCTCTGCTTTATGCTGCTGTGCAAAGGTGTTTAAATTTGGAGGACCCTCTATTGAATGCAGTTTTTGAATAAAACAGTTCTCCAACATCTGCCCCTGCAAGCACAGGTGCTCATGATTAACGTCTGAACATACAGTAACTGGGACTCAAATTAGAACAAATAACATTTTCTTCAACAATAAAGATTTGGTCAAAATAAGTAGGGGATGTGGTTTGGTCAGGGCTTTTTCTGTCAGTCGTAGGTAGCTGAAAACATACAGAATAATGTTTCTGAGACCAAAATAAATAGTAAAAACACTTCAGGCAATTTCTAAAATAAGCAATTTAATAACATCTGTAGTCATCTGAACTCTCAGGTTGTGCACAGGTGTTGTGTTATAAATATCTGCCAAAATAGATTGCAAAAAAAACCTATAATAATTACTGCTTTTTTTTTCTAAAAAATATTGGACAGATGCACCCATTTGCTCCCTCACACAGAATGATCAGGTACATTTGCTTTTAGGACACTCATCAAATCTTTCATGAATAATGGTTGCCACATTTCTTCAGGACTGATTATCAGCAAACTGCACAGATGCTAACACCTCTCCACGAATCTTAAAGCGCTCCTCTTCTAAACACTCTTGACATTCAGCTGCTGATTTAATAAGGCTTAATAAAGGGATGCATTAGTCATTGGCACTTCATTTACCAACATAAATTATATAAAACAATTTCAGACTGTAACATGATGAAGGACCTTCCACTGGTACTGGAGCCGATGAAACAGCGTCTTCAGCACGACAAACCAGTCTTTGGATAGTCTCCAGGTAAAAAAGCGACAGGTGTTTCACAGCGTCAAAGGGACCCCCCTTTGGGTCAGCGAGTTCAGCTTTTATTCTGAAGAAACCGTTGTTTTGTTGATAACAACGACAGGATTTCCCCGCTTGGCAGTTCTCAGCTTAAAAAGAAAAGT